TATCCATCACCTCAAACACTTATTTCTTTGTGTTGGGAACATTCAGTATCCTCCTACTAGCAGTTTAAAACTATCTAATATATTATTATTAACTGTAGTGCTTCATCAGTGGTATAGAGCAACAGTCTTTTTTGGCACCAAGGACGGCTTCATGGAAGACAATTCTTCCGGGGAGGGGGTGGGGGGGGTTGGGGGTGAATGGTCCCAGGATGACCCAAGCGCACCATATTGATTGTGCAGTCATATGTCTCTGCCAGTGACAATCTGCACTTGCAGCCGTTCCCCAGCGCCAGCACCACTGCCCCAGCTTCACCCCAGATCATCAGGCACCAGACTCTGACAAGGAGCTGGAAACCTACGTCCCTTGCATGGTCAGTCCACAGTAGGGGTCGAGCTCCTGTGAGAATTCAGTGTGGCTGCTGGTCTGATAGGAGGTGTAGCCCACACTGTGATGCAGTGAAGTGTAGTGGCAGCAAACATTGTAGATGAAATCTCACTTGCCTGCCTGCCAACACCTCTGGCCATGCAGCTGTTTCCCAACAGGCCACGAACTGGCACCCATCCCCAGCCCCGCGGTTGGGGACTGCAGGATGTAGAACACTTAAACTTACTCCTTTTATCTAGCTGCAATTTTGTATCCTTTAACAAATCTCTCGTTATCCCTCCCTTCCCCCTACCCTTTGCACGCACCCTTTGATATCCTCTGTTCTACATTTAGTTTGTGTAAGATCAACTTTTTTTTTTAGTTTCCATTTTTGAATGAGGACACGTAGTGTTTAACTTTCTGTTCCTGGCTTATTCTGGTTAACATAATGCTCTCTGGTTCCAACCATGTTGCAACGAATGATAGGATTTCATTCTTTTTTTTTATGGTTGAATAGTATTCTCTTGTGTGTATATACCACATTTTCTTATCCATTCATCTGTTGTAGGATACCTAGCTTGATTCTCTGTCTTGGCTACTATGAACAATGCTGCAGTAAACATGGGGGTGCAGATGTCTCTCTGATAGAATGATTTTCTTTGGATAAATTCCTGTAGTGGGATTGCTGGATCATATTGTAGTTGTAGTTTTTTGAGAGACTTCCATACTGTTCTCCATAGGGGCTGTGCTAGTTTGCATTCCCATCAATAGTGTTTTAAGAGTTCCTCATCTTTGCCTGCATTTGTTATTTTTTGTCATCTTACAATAGCCATCCAACTGGGGTGAGATGATACCTCGTTGTGTGGCTTTAATTTGCATTTCTGTGATGACTAGTGATGTTAAGCATTTTTTTTTATTTCTTCCTATTTTTTGGCCATTTGTATGTCATCTTTTGAGAAATGTCTGGTCAGATCATTTGCCTGTTTTTTAACTGGATCATTTGTTTTTTCTGTTAAGATGTTTCAGTTTCTTATATATTCTGGATATTAATCCCTTGTCAGACAAGTAGTTTGCAGATATTTTCTCCAATTCTGTAGGTTGTCTTTTCACTTGTTGATCATTTACTTTGCTGTGTAGAAGCTTTTTAGATTAATATGATCCCATTTGCTTACACTTGATTTTGTCATCTGTGCTTTTGAGGTTTTATTCATAAAATCTTAAACCCAGACCAGTTTCCTGAAATATTTTCCCTGTTTTCTTCTAGTAGTTTTATTGTTTTGCATCTTAACATTTAGATCTTTGATTCATTTTGAGTTGATCTTTTTATAGGATGAGAGGTAGGGGGATAGTTTCCTTCTTCTGCCTATAAATATCCAGTTTTCCCAACACCATTTATTGAAGAGACTGTCCTTTCCCCAATGAGTGTTTTTGGCACCTTTGTCAAAAACCAGTTGGGTATAGATGTGTAGATTACTTTCCGGGTTTTCTGTTCCATTGGTCTTTGTGTTTGTTTTTATACTAATACCATGCTGTTTTGGGTACTGTAGCTTTGTAGTATATTTTGATACCTGGAAGTGTAAAACCTCCAGCTTTGTTCTTTTTGCTCAGGATTGCTTTGGCTATTCAGGGTCTTTTTGTGATTCCATACAGATTTTAGCACTTTTTCTATTTTTGTGAAGAATGTCATTGATATTTTGATGGAGATTGCATTGAATCTATAGATTGCTTTGAGTAGTAGTCATTTGATAATTCTTAACCAGTGTTACCGGAAGATTTCTTTTGATTTGATACGTAGAGTATTTTAGAAAAAGAAATGCCTGATAAATTAGTAAACATTTGTAATTGTTGTTTTTACTCTTTTCCTTTTATTCTTGCTGTTTCTTTTGTTTGGAGTATAGTAATATACTGTTCTTTCTCTGTATATTTGCCTCCAATCCTCTTGGATCATTGCTGCTGTGTTACTGTTTTGAACGCACCCCTGATAATGCCATTCCTTTTCTTTGAAATTCATCTTTATAGGATATCTCAATTCAAACTGACATTCTTAGCCAATGCTTTATCTTTAGGTACCGTACTACCTTTTAGCCAAGGACTTTCTCTAGACACCTTACCTTAACATACTGTTTTAATGACCTCAATTTCTGAATGACCAAGTTTACCAGTCCATCTGGGTCATAACTCACGTGTCACTGCTTTGATAGGAAAGTATTAATAGCTTGTTAATATTACCTTTCATAGATGGTCCTTGTTCTTCATTTAGCAGTGATCTGGCAATATTGTATAATTATTAACTATTTAATAAATAACTTACTTTAAAGCTGTTAAACATCCCCTTGAATGGGGAGAGTCCATGTCTCCTTTTCCTATAGCAACATGGTTGACACACTCTAAGGAATTCAGTACATGTTGAATTGATTAAGCAAATGACCTTGTAAATTGTGTTTACTAGGAACACAATTCTGCTTTACCAAATAATTGGCTAGGGTCACAGCTTCATTTTTTGGTAGCAAGTACAGCTCTAGCTTTGGGTTTTAGGAAGACAAAAAGTTACAAAAGACTTTTACTCTTTTTTGTTTTGATTGTAGGAAGTAGAACAGCTGAGAATGGAACGCCTACAGATTGATGAACAGCTACGACAGATTGGTATGGGTTTCAGACCTTCTTCCACCAGAGGGCCTGAAAAAGAAAAAGGATATGCCACTGATGAAAGTACCATCTCTTCTGTACAAGGTTCTAGGTCTTATAGTGGAAGAGGCAGAGGTCGTCGGGGCCCTAATTACACCTCCGGTTATGGTAAAAAAACATTTTTTTCTTGGTTTAGTAGTAGTAGTAGGTAAAATTTAGGTGCTCCAAGATATTTTGCTTATAATAAGGTCATCACTGTATTGGCTTTGAGGGTAGCAGGTAGTTCTGAGGCATATGTCTTAATAGTAGTAATGGCATACTTTATGCTAATCACAATAAAAGGTATATAATAATTTCCAAGCAGTTATGTAATGAAATGAAACATGTTTTTAAATTGGTAGTTCATAATCATGTTTATTCTAAATATTTAGAATAAATACATATGAAACTTGTTTTTCAAATACTTTCCTAGTATAATTTTTTACATTTCCCAGTAGAAACCAGTAATAGTGATACTGCTAGAAATCATCTTTTGTCTACCCTCTGAGAAAAGTAAAAATGAAAAATATGCTAATCACTCTGCCAAGATTACATATAGCAAATCTTCACTAGCTTTTAAAATATACTTTATTGACTCATTTGGCATATTTGAATGTGTTAACATCCGACATCTGGAATAACTTTGTATAATAATAGCATTTTACTAAAATGAGGGCTTTAAAGTCAGAACATAAATATTTTATAAATGAACATTTTTCTAAAATATATTTCACTGTGAGGATTTCATAGGTGTAGGAAGGGGCCAGTGGAGTGGTGATAGTCAACAATTCTCTAATCCTAAATTCTCACTTCTTCTTCAGCTTTGCAGTTGTTCCATTTTTCTACATTTGGACTTGGAGTTTAGCAGTGACCTGAGTTTTGTTTTTTCGTCTCCCTCATTTTCTTCCTTTTTCTCTTCTATTTTCCTTCTCTCTTCTTCATTCCCCTTGGGAAAGTATTTCATAAACGTTTTCCAAAAATGTAAGCATTTAAGGGAAATAGAAATAAGTGCTTGATTCCAGTGTACAGATTCCAGATCGATATTTCATATTTATTGAAGGATTGTCTAATGATGCCAGAGTTATATTTACTTATACTGTCTTTCACTTGTTAAAGCTTAAGTATCCCTTCCCTTTAATGTCATATCTCTTGTTCTCACTTTTTTAGTTTTTTTATTTTAGTTAACCATGTATTGAAACCTAAAAAGCAAAATTCTAGTATAGAAATGTTCAGCATGTGAAGGGCTGAGAGAATTAAACAATTATTATTGTATTCCTGAAAATATATTTAATACAAAAGACAACCAGTAATTAAGTAGAAATTAAAGTATTTTGATTGATTTTTGAAGCATAAATTACTAGCACAGATCATTAGATTTGACTTTTTGGATTATGAGAATGATGAATTCATTGGAAGACTTTATTAGCCTCTATGGTGAAGTCCACTTACTGATAAGAGGTCACTCTTGCAACATGCTTTTGTCAAGATTAGATAATGAAAGTGGTAGAGGAACATTACTTGGATTGAAGAAAGCTGTGCAAATTGTTCAGTAGATGGCACTCTTACCTCTGAATCTTTGCAGAACTAGTAACATTGTATTTTTTGAAATAGCTGTTGAACTTGAGTGGGCTTGGGAGAGTAATAAAAACCATTTGAATTTGGTTATAGATATTCTTGTATACTTTATATTTTTAGGTGATTAATATAACTGATTTATATAATTCTTATAGAACTGTTCTATAAGGTTAACAGTTATATAAGATATATAGAATATATAGATATGTATCAGTTACCTATACATCAGTTCTGTAAGAATTATAAACATTTCTTAATGTAACATCTCTGAAATTGGTGTGTGTTTTTCATTGGACATCTTACATTGCTAATTAGCATTTTCTCTTCTTTAATGGCACACAAAAAATATATCTTACAATTGATGGCATCTTGGATTTGATAAAATGTGGTATTTAAACTTAATGCTTAGCACACATTCCTGTTGAAAATGATATAAACCATCTTCACGATAAGGTGACCAGAAGTTTAGAGGGAAAATCTGATTTAAAAGTTGATTAAAAACAGGTTGCCTTTATTTTTTGGAGTAAATAAAAATTGGATTAATGTCATGAATCATTTTTAAAGCCTTTAAAAAATTTTTGAATTATGAACTTACATTTTGCAAAATTGAGAGGTTGAAATGATTGCAATAGTTTCTATGGAGTATTAGTTTTCTGTTGCTGTAATAATAAATCATCACAAATCTTAGAGGCTTAAACAACACAGGCTTATTATCTTAGATTTCTACAAATCAGAAGTCTGACATGGGTCTTACTGGGCTAGAACCTTAAGTGTTAGCTGAGCTACATTCAGTTTGGAGGGTCTAGGGGAGTCCCTTTCTCTGCAGCTGAGAAAGGTTCTCCACTTTCAAAGACCCAAGAGATTTAGTTTGGGCCTACTTGAATGGTCCAGAATAATCTTCCCATCTCAAGATGCTTAACCTTAGTCTCATTTGCAGATTCCTTTTCACCATCACAAAAGCATTTAATATGAGTTACTAGAGTTATTTAATATGAATGAAGCTGAGCATGAGTCAATTCATTAGCCTTTTTGTTTTTTCAGTATCTGTCTTACCTACTGAATGAAATCTGTGATTCAGATATTTTCTTTAAATATTTTTATTTATTTATTTTTTTTTGAGACAGAGTCTCACTCTTTTTGCCCGGGCTAGAGTGAGTGCTGTGGCGTCAGCCTAGCTCACAGCAACCTCAAACTCCTGGGCTCAAGCGATCCTCCTGCCTCAGCCTCCTGAGTAGCTGGGACTACAGGCACCATGCCCAGCTAATTTCTCTATATATTTTTAGTTGTCCAATTAATTTCTTTCTATTTTTAGTAGAGACGGGGTCTTGCTCTTGCTCAGGCTGGTTTCGAACTCCTGAGCTCAAACAATCCGCCTGCCTCGGCCTCCCAGAGAGCTAGGATTACAGGCGTGAGCCACCGCGCCCGGCCTTCTTTAAATATTTTGAATACTAGATTTAGGTTAATTTTAAGGAAGATTTCTTAGATTGTGACACTGGATTAGATAAATACTACATTCGATTTTTAAGGAGAGTTTAATAGAAGTTTTTGTTTCAAACTGAAATAATCATCATCTACCTTAAATATTTTCTGGCAGGGCATAAGTTTATAAATAAATTCAGAAGTCTTACACATTCCAAAGGGTTTTTTTCCGACTGTTCATGAAATGATAAATTGCCTTTATTCCAACATCTGTGACATCCAGTTAATAAAATGTTTTTTTGTCATTTGGAGAAATAAGCATTAGGGGAGATTGATACTTCATTCCCAACAGAGACTTGAAAGTGAATAACAGAAACTGGATGTATTCTTTGTAAAATACACTTCCCACTAAATTACTTAATTCATTCTTTTATAATCGACTAGTATATCCATAGTTAACAGCATGTGGAGAAAAAGGGATGCATTGCAGAATTATCTTTAAAGGAGAAAGGAAGTTGGTAGGCACTTTCATTCGTTAAACTTTGCATTTTGTCCCCTTCACCTCGTTAGTTATAACTTTGTTTGTCTGAAGCTCTCTTATTGTGTGTTTATCTTCAAATGACTGGAGTTTAAGTATAGGGAACTTTAAAGTATTTAGTGAATCACTCTTGGGGAATTTAGCAAGTGAACTTCAAAATCATGCAGTAAATTTACTGGTTGAAAAATTGTTATACACATTTCTAGGCATTTGGGTACATTTATAGTTATAAGATGAAGTTCTGCCCTTTATCAAAGATCAATTTTGAAGTAATTCCAAAGGGGGAAAAATTACAGAACAACATACGACATTGCATGGTATATCTATGCTTTTAGGAAATAAGAGAAGGGGAGAGGTCTGTTTTCAGTTAAATTAGTCTGAAGCTGTAAATTGAACTAGGCTCTGAAGGAGATGTATTTGATGTATGATAGTAGGGAAGTGGCATCCCAGAACTAAGAATAGAAGTGGGAATGAGTGTGCTAGTGATTGGGTCATATATACTGCCACTTTGCATTATAATAGTATTGTGGGTTTCTTATGAAAACTTTGCAATGTTTAAATTTTTGAAAGGTCACCATTAAAATACATAGTTGCAATATTAGAACTGGTCTGTAAACTTTAAAAGACATGCTGAATTTTCCTCTCACTGGTTATGGCTTCATTTCTGTTGGTTGTCAGGTGAGCGATATCTGCTCTCTCAGAGAAACCTTTTAAAAAATTTAGTAATTCAAATGTCATATTCTTCCAATTTGAGACACAGTTACTAGTGAAACATGGTATTTTATGTACAACTGCTGGGGAAAAAAACACTCCCAGTTTATAAGAAAGACACCATCAATTGTAAGAAATGTCCTGATTTCATATTAAAATGTGAAGAAAAAAGTATATCATAGAATCAGTGAAATAATAGTAGACTGAATACACTATACAATTAAACTATTCATTTTTCTAAATATGATTAAATTTTCTTTCAAATATTGGCAGTTAATTTTGTTTTACTAGTAATTTAGGTTACTAAAACCTAAATGGGCTGGGCACGGTGGCTCATGCCTGTAATCCTAGCTCTCTGGGAGGCCAAGGAGGGCAGATCGTTTGAGCTCAGGAGTTCGAGACCAGCCAAAAATTAGCCGGGCATGGTGGCGCATGCCTGTAGTCCCAGCTACTCAGGAGGCTGAGGCAGGAGGGTCGCTTGAGCCCAGGAGTTTGAGGTTGCCGTGAGCGAGGATGACGCCATGGCACTCTAGCCTGGGCAACACAGTGGGACTCTGTCTCAAAAAAAAAAAAAAAAAAACCTAAATGGGCAGAGAGACTTTTGGTTATCTCTCCATATTAAGTGCATTTTAATATTGATATGTAATGTTTGTATGTTTTCTGTAATTGTTCTATGGGTTGTGTTTCTGCACATCAATTCATTTTTTAATCTTGACTAGTAGATTCTATATTACTAGTATATTAACAGTTGATTATTCTTTAGTTTCAAATTCATTTTAATTTTAAAGTAGCTCTCTTTGAAGCAGCCAAACAGTATGCTTATTCAAACAATAATTTGTAGGAAATGAAATTAAAATATTAAAGCTTCTTTTTTTATAGGAATATAATTGGTTTGTTTTCTTCTTTCCCAAGGTACAAATTCTGAGCTGTCTAACCCCTCTGAAACAGAATCTGAGCGTAAAGATGAGCTGAGTGATTGGTCATTGGCAGGAGAAGATGATCGAGACAGCCGACATCAGCGTGACAGCAGGAGACGCCCGGGAGGAAGAGGCAGAAGTGTTTCAGGGGGTCGAGGTCGTGGTGGACCACGTGGTGGCAAATCCTCCATCAGTTCTGGTAGTCTTTTATATACTATGTCAGCATCCATTCTTTGTAAACAGTATAATCTTAAAAAAGTTAATCCATCTTCCAGGGCCACCCAATTTGGGAAGCTTCTCTTTCCAACTCACTGTCGTAGCAAAAATAGTAGACCATATAACAGTGCAAGGAAAATGCCCTGTGCTGGAGTGTTCCTTAGTGAAGGTTTATTTAGAATAATCAGGTCAGAACTTTAATTGGCTGATTCTCTTTGTATTTTGAGGGTCAGATGTTCATCTCTTCAGTTTTTGAGGGCCTATGTAATTGGAAATTGTTTTTTTATTTTCCTAGAATTTGAGTTATATATGTTTGCCAGACAGACCTAGGGAATTCTAATGCACAGAGAGATCGCAGTACTTTTGTGTACTTAATATTGAAAACTAACTGGAAAGCATTCTGAAAACTAACTGGAAAGCATTCTGAAAACTAACTGGAAAGCATTCTTTGCTACACTATATGCTACTTTGGGAACAGGGAAAAATTGTGGAATCAACTTTTTAAGAAAATTTTATTGTTTGAGGGATTCAGCTATAAAGAGGAGTGTTTAGACGACTAAAGATTTGAGGTATATAAGCAACTTTGTACTTGTTTACTTGTGCCTTTATAAAAATTTTTAATTGTTTAAGTTAAGTGGAGTTGCCAGAATGTTCTTGGTTTCATCATAAGCTGGGGGAGAATTGCTAGGGATACAACTTTAACATATTATCGTACACCACTTTAAGAAAACCACACTTTTCTTAATGTTATAACATACCTATGAAAACTTTTCTTAATGTTATAACAGACCTATGGTATTTGATATGTTATTGAAGATATGTATATATATGTTAAATATATGCCAAATGTGCTTACAAATTACAAAAACTGGAATAAATTAGAGCAAAATTTAGGAACTTCTTAAAAGATTCTGGTTCCACAAGTAATATTCTTCGATCCCTAAGTTTAGTTTACAGGCTTACAGGGAAAGATATTTTAGTATACTGTGCACTGTTATCAAAGTTTATAAGCTTATAGTATGCTGAATTGCAAAATAAATGTACTTTACTAGTGTTTATGATTAATGGATAAACTTAGTGTCTTTTGCAAAGATGCTAGCTTGCTAGCTGTTACCAAAGGAAACTTAGGAAAAATCGTGATTAGGTGAATTTCTTCTATAATTTGATTGTTGGAGGCAATAAATGCACATAGGTAAGATGGGTATTTTTCTTATGAATTATATCTTACAATTTTTCTTTTTCCACCTTTGCTCTACCTTCATGCTTTGTTTCTAGAGATTGAGTACTAGCCAACATTTGTTTCAACATTTTCCTTTTCATAACCAGTTAGAATTTCAACCGTAGTTTGCTGCTTTGTGTGAACTTGTTTTGATTACTTCAGGTCATAGTTACAGATTTCTCTCATGTCATGGAGTGTAGGCATTATTTGGAATTAGTCCGTTAACATCAGCACAAATGCAGCAGTCACCTTGAACTCAGTAAAGGGGATCAAAGCTGGCTCTTAGAATTAATTTATATTAACTGAATATTTATTTCTCTTTACCTTTATTTTTCCAGCTTTAGGGCAGGGCAGGATTACCTTGAAATGTAAATGTCAAAATTAGCATTTGATATACTATTTCCTAATATATATTTTCAAAACAAGGCAAAGGAAGTGTTAGGAAGCTGAGATCTCTTGCTCATCTTCTGCTTTAATTTTTCATCACCATTTAAAGTTTTTTCGTATTAATCATCTTTGTTATTTTCCAGGTAAAATATTGATACAGAAAACATGTTATTTGAAGACATTGCATTTTTATTGGGGGAGATTGAAGTTTATCATTAATTGATATAGTTCAATATAGATCAAATTATTCATAATTGCAGCCCTCTTAAACAAATATTTCTTGCCTCTGACATGAATATAGTGCTCAAAGATCCAGACAGCAATCCATACAGCTTACTTGATAATACAGAATCAGATCAGACTGCAGACACAGATGCCAGCGAATCTCATCACAGTACTAACCGTCGTAGGCGGTCTCGTAGACGAAGGACTGATGAAGATGCTGTTCTGATGGATGGAATGACTGAATCTGATACAGCTTCAGTTAATGAAAATGGGCTAGGTATGTAAACATTTAGGGAAAACATACATATAATTGTATAATATTGTTACTGTATGAAGCTTTTCCAAAAAAAAAGTATACGATTCACAGATTGACTTTGTTAATGTTTACTTCAAGGTAGATAGCCTTTTGTCTGTCTTAAATGTCTGGTTCTCAGATTTATCATAGTCAGAATTACTTGAAACTGGGAGTATTTATTAAAGTGCCCTTTGATGCATTAAATCAGTACAAATACTCAAACTGCAAGGTACTTACTGCTTTTATTGTCCCCACACCAAAATTGGGCTTTCAGCTTGCCTCTTTAAAATTATTACAACTGACACCAGTGAAGGTATGTATATCAAGAGTAGGCATTAATTTTCAAAGGGCTAAAATGTCATTAACTTTGGTATAAACCAAACTATTGGAGAGGAAAGCTTATCCCCGAATGGTAATTTAAAGTTTCTTTTATTATGAGTTAAAACCCTGTTAATTTCTAGATCATATTTCCATTGTCAATGTATTTGAAATGCTTAAAGCTACAAAAGTCTATTTCCTGTCAGTAATGTATGTTTTATCTTTGGTGCTTACTTAAAAGTTTATCTTTCCCCTTCTTTAAATCTTTGAAAGAAAGAAATTTTTTGTTTTGTTTTTTGTTTTTGTCAGAATAGTTCATGGTAAACTTTGCAATTACAGATGATAGTGAAAAAAAACCCCAGCGACGCAATCGTAGCCGCAGGCGTCGTTTCAGGGGTCAGGCAGAAGATAGACAGCCAGGTAACTTGAGTGGACCTGTCGACATCAGGTCACAAGCATGAAAAAAATGTCATGTGTCTGCTTTCTGAATATATTATACTTACATGTACACATGTTTGCATATACATTCAAAATTTGCATTGCATAAATTGTTTATTCAACTAATAAGACTACTACTTTTAAGAAAATGCATTCTTCCTTCACAACTTAAATGTTTAGTAACCTGTCTGATTGAACTAATGTTGTGTCTCAATTTTTTACATGGAAATACTGTTGAGTTCATTATTTTGTTCACCTGGCAGATTGTTCACACTTGAGATGGGGACTGCTATCCCAGGGGACTACGTTGTAGATTGTCATTGAAGTTGATTGGCAAAACTGGGCAGCTTTTGCATGGTGCCTGCTTACTATCTCTGAATTCAGCACCTCATTTTTGTGGGAATTGTAATACCCACAGTTTTGAAAAAACGTATAAAAGAAAAATATTTGGAAGTGTCTTTCCTAATAAGAGGAATGCATGTTTTGTTTTTGTTTGTTTATTGTAGTGTGATGCCTTTTTCCTTACACCTACTAACTAGTCAAATTAATAGTATTTACTTAGTTTTAGAATGTTATTTTATGTAGTCATAATTTTTAGTAGCTTCAAAGAAACTTGTTTGCTGTGTCTATATTATTTTGAACATAATTTCATTTCCTGTGTACAGAGACATGTATATTCACAATGAAGAAATTGTGTGCACCAGAAATAAACCCCTTTCAAACTAATCAATTTTTGCATTCTTTCCAAAACCAATCCTTTCATGTGTTTTCCCCAAATAAAGAATGTAAATTCTAGCATCTTTAATATTTTAAGTTTAGTGGTTGTAGAGACATTTGGTTGAGGGAATTAGTTCTCATTCTTGAAAGCTCATGTTTTAAAGATAGTTGGAAATTTTGAAAGGAATTAAATATTGTCAGAAAATAGTGTGTCCAGAAAATCTTTTCTTTCCTTTTCTTTCCTCCCCTCCTTTAGTGTTAGAAATATATTTTAGGTGAAGGGATCATATTTATTTCATTTTTTAAAGGTGGCACAGCAATGACTACAGTATTTTGTGGCCTTCCTTTATAAATAAGAAAATTCAACCTATCAGTATGGCCTTAACAGAATAAATTATGACATAACTTATTAACTATAGATGTATGGTGGTTTATTACTAAGTCAGCAGACATAGAAGGAATAACAGATAGTGGGGGTTGGTTGTAGAAGCAGCAGAAGTTTCTGTATAGTATTAATTGAAACATGAGTAATTAGGAGTTTTCAATAATTTGACAGTGATTTTTGTGTTCCATACTGTATCTATTCCTATTTTAACTCTGTTCTTTGGGATTACTACTTTTCTTCTCTTAAAACTCCTTGCATTTCCTAGCTTGCTCCTCCTCCCCGAAAGATAGGAAGATAGGGTGGGTAAAACAAGCACAAAATTATTTTTTCCTTGCTCCTGGTAGCAATTCTAGGGGGCAGCCTCCATCTAAAGTTCATATTATTTGCTCTCATTTGCTCAAAATTTCTTGTTGCTCTTAGTGTAAATTAAACAGTGAATAGTCTTTGCTGCACTTTATATGTGACAACATACTGGTGTCCAGTTGATTAACTTGGACCCCTTAGAGGAAATTCTAGAATATGAATTTTGCTATACAAATTGCCTGCATTTTTCCTAGATATTAATATTGATTAATCTGTGTTGAACTTTTAAGGAACTTAAAAAAGGACTGGCTATAAACAGGTTTTTCTTTGAATTAACTGAGGTTTCTTTTGGCTATCATTTATTGGGGGAGGGGACATCCCAGCTAAGTGCCTCTTAATTTAATCAATAACTGTATCAATGTATAATCTTTGTGCATAGTGGATGAAGGGTTCTAAGAATTGTTTCCACATGTGTTTCAATTTAACAGCACGGCCTCCAAGTAGATGAATTTTCCCAGGGACCCCTGAGGCCTGAACTATGGAACCAGAAGGCATTCATTGTGCTGCTCCCTAATCTATGGCTAGAATCATTCTCATAATGGTTTTGCCACCACATATGTAGATACAATATTGAAGTAGATTTTGATAGATAATATCCCCCTCCCCAATATTCCAAACTATTATTTATAGTTATATTATCACTAAACTGTTAAATGTATTTAAAAATGCATTAGCAATGAATTTAAACAATAATTTTAAAAACTTAAAAATGAGTGTACTGAGCTTATAATTTGGAAAGAAAGAGGCAGTTTTAGACTTAGTTTTCTAATTATGTGTGTAAGTTCTGAAATGAGTTTCAGAACTTATTTTTACATATCAGGAATTTTGTTAACCAGTTTGTGGTAGAAAATAATAATTTGGAAGAAAGGGTGGTTATTTTGATACTTAATCGAGTCAGTGAATTCTTAGCTTCAAGTTCTTGAAGAGAAAGGATTGAGTTTACAAAGTGAGGCCCATCCGTAATACCTGTAGAACAGAGGTCATCTGTTGCACTTGAGTTGGCAGTAGGGTGTTAGCTTGGGTTAGTCGTTTTCCTAATCTATACTGCCACTTCTTTGCAAACACACATTTCAGTCAAGTTCTATCGAGACTGGCAAAAGAGGGTAGGGTTGTCACTGAATTTACTGTAGCCCCTCTCCCACTGTGATCAGTGTCCACATTTTTAGGGTGGTGGTCTGTCATCTTTAGTTTCTTATTTCAGTCATTCAGAATGGTTTCCCGTGTGAAAACTTAAAAAGGAGCCATAAAATATGTCACACCAGGGTATCTTGTTTTCTTTTTTTTTTTTAAAGCAAAACCAACATTTGAGTAAATCTTTTATACCTTTGATGAAATTTTCAAATTTAAGTATATCACACCATAGTTTGCATGTAATATGCCCCATTTCCCACCCAGTAATAATAATAATTGCAAGCACTGTTTGGGCTTAGAACACTTCATCTACATTTTCTGTTTGGTTGTGGGTTTCTACACCAAATTTGCCCGACAACCTTAGACTCAACGGAAAAGAAATAACTGGATTCTTGGGAAAGAGGACTTTAATCTCAACTTCCTCAGTCTCAAGCTTGAAATTTTGTATTGTCAGCACTAAAATCACAGGCAGATTTTTCAAGCTTTATTTTTGGTTGGAGGTGGTACCCAGCTTAAGAAAATTTTGAAATTGGGTGACCCACCACTAGTTTAATAGTGAAATTACTCTTTATCCATAAATAAACTTAAGAAATACTTTTCAACACCTGTAATTTTTTTCTCATCTTTAACAGTCACAGTTGCAGATTATATTTCTAGAGCTGAGTCTCAGAGCAGACAAAGAAACCTCCCAAGGGAAACTTTGGCTAAAAACAAGAAAGAAATGGTAAGGAGAATTTAACCTGTAGGTTTTTTTTTTTTTTTTTTTTTTGGTATGGTGTAGCATTTTTTTTTTTTTTTACTTCTTAACTTACTGTATGATCACTTGTTTTCCACAAATAGACAAATAATATTTTAGTTAAAGAGAAGATTCTTGATTTTGTATTTCGCCCCAAGTAACTGAAGATATGCATGCTTGAGCCTGAAATACTTTTTAGTTAGAGCTTTAAATAGTATTTGTAAAATTTAGTCTGCCCAAAGATAGTGCGCATAGAGACTTTTGCTTAATTTGGGGAGCAATAGGCTGTATACCTCTTTAAGTTTCAATTCTTTTAAACGCTTTAAGGGATTTGATATGTAAATGAGTTTCAGAAAGGTGAGTAAAGTAGGTGATTGTTTTACTTTAGGTATTAACTGTTTATATCATTTACATGGTGAACTTTTCAGTGGTTTAAAATAAAATTAGATACAGGTTTCATTAAACAGTACAGATGCTTCGTGTGGTTTGGGCACTGCTAGGTACTAGAGATAAAGAGTCGAAAGACCCAGAGAGCAGAATACATTGATATTTGTTTTGAATTTTAAGAATGTTTTAATTCCTTGATCCATTGTGGCATATGAAACTGAAATTTTTTATTAGCTGATGTTTATGTAGCTATTTTTCTCCTCAGCTATAGATTTCATTTATAAAGAAGTTGAAAAAGTTGTCTCCCTTTGGCAGGCAAAAGATGTGATTGAAGAGCATGGTCCTTCAGAAAAGGCAATAAATGGCCCAACTAGTGCTTCTGGCGATGAAATTTCTAAGCTACAGCGTACTCCAGGAGAAGAAAAGATTAATACCTTAAAAGAAGAAAACACTCAAGAAGCAGCTGTCCTGAATGGTGTTTCATAAACTGAAGAAGTTCCTAGTTTACAGTTCTTTTACATTACATTTACAATAGCGCTTGTACAAGCTTGCCAAAGATAGAATATGGATCGCCAGTCTTACATCGCACTTTCAGTTCCTCCATTTGGAATTCAGAAAGGGGAGGGATCCTGAAGAAATCATATGTTAAACATACTTTGACACCTACTGTGTTATAAAATATATCATCAGATGTGCCTTGAGAATAGTATATGTAACATTAAAAAAAGTTGCTGGCTATAGGAAATGTTATTTTGTTTTCAAAATATGGCAGAAATGGGGGGAAGGGGGGGTGGGATCCCTAACCTAATATTCTTTATGAAAGCAGTAGCTGCTTTTGTTACATTTTTAATATGCAACCACTTCTTCACCTGAGGAAAACTAGAATGAAATGCAGTCTAAAATATTTTGCACTGAATTGTAATTCTTCATTAGTTTAGTCTGGAAACTGGTCTGTTTTAATGTGTTTTTTAAATGCTGTATGTAGAGGAAAATCTGCAGACCACTGGAATACATTTGTTAAACTCTCATCTGCAGGGACACTGGGTGATATTTGGCAGTGACTGTTCTACCTTGAGGCTTTGTTTGGTTTATTTATTAAAGTGTACAGTATTTAAAAATCAAACATAGCTTTAGTTAAGACACTAAGCTAAATTAGTCATGTCCATTCAGACATAACCTGAACTACTGAAAAGATCAATTTCCAGAAGGTTTGTTCTGTATAAACTACGTTAGTCTTCAGTAGAGTATCTTTTTCTTTTCCTTTTCCTTTTTCTCTCTCTCTTTTATTTTTGTTTTTGTTTTTTTTTTTTTTGATTTCAGTTGTTTGATGTGCAATATGTTTTTGTATGCAGGTAGTAAATAAACTTTGATCTTCCATTTGCTGATTTTTAACTTTCTACTTTTTATACCAATTGTTGCAAAGTAGTTGGAGCTGTTTATAGGTTTAGAATAGTATGCTTTTGATTGCTTTTTAAAAAGCATCTATACTTGCTGATAAATAGCATTAAAATGTCAGTTGGCCATTTAATCATTTTGTAATGAATCCTGAAATCTTAACACTTAAAATTTAGACTGTTAGAATAGATGGCTTTGGGAATTGATAATACATTTGATTATCAGGAAAAAAATCTTGGCAACAAAATTTTAATGAAAGGCAACTTTTAGAAGACAATGGGGGATAGAAAGCAGGATTTTTACCTTTGCCTTTAGTTCTTTATTGAAAATCGTTTTATAAAAGAAGTATGATCAACAGTTTTTAAGTAATAGGCAAATAATTTGTTTCTTGATTCTCAAGTAATTTTGAAGGTTTTCATACCTATGATTAAAAATTATTGTCAAACTTCAGTTTGCAAAGATAAAGAGACGATGTTTGTTTTAAAGTAACAATGATACAGTAATTTATACAGTTAATTGTGAGGTCAAATCAAATAATTGTGGACTTAGGGGAAGGCTTTGCTTCACAATGTATAAACTACTGAGCAAGAATGATAGCCATTTATTTTTATTACTTGGCATCTGAAGTTTTTTATGTGCATAATTTGTGTTTATTATGTGCATAAAAATGTTACTATTTTAATTTATATGACCTAAAGGTTAATTTGCCATCTAGTTAAAAATGTAAAATTTGCCAGGTCAGTGTATATATAACCCTAGCCTTTACATTTATTCTCATGTTAAAATATGCTGGTATTAAATGGTTTTTCCTAAAACCTTCTAAATGGTAAAGTGCAAATAGTGTGATTTCTGCACTTTATGTAAGTAGAGATATCAAATAATTTCATATTCTGGTCTTTAAAAAATTTACCCACAATTGTTTTTAATCCATCAAAGTTCTAGAAACAAGATAAATAGTTGGCCTTTTTATTCTTAGTTCCCTTGCATAATTGGGTTACAAATTAACTATAAGGTATGAAAAGAATTTTAGTTAATCCCTAGTTGACAAATGTGGTATAAAGAAAAAACTTAGTTTTCGTTTTCTCCCATATAGAATAGAGTCACTAAAATCTTTTTCCATATTGTTTCAATGAGAAAAGAACAAAACTATCTTAAAAAGTGAGTGTAGCTGAAGCAGTTCTTCAGAATAGCAGTAATTAATAACCATACTCTAAGAAATAACTATTAAGATTTCATTACAAATGAGTAAACCCAATGTTTTGTCCTTTAAAACAGGGGTCCCCAACCTATGGTGAGTTGTATAATTATTTCGTTATATATTACAATGTATTAATAATAGAAATAAAGTGCATAATAAATGTAATGCGCTTGAATCATCCTAAAACCGTCCTCTCCCTGCCGGCTGCGGAAGAATTGTCTTCCATGAAAACGGTTCCTGGTGCCAAAATGGTTGGGGACTGCTGCTTTAAAACAATATATGTGCTGCAGAATTTTCATAAGCAGGCTTTTTTTTTTTTTTTTAAACAGGATATAACTCAGATTCAGGAATATAAATGAAAAGCCAACTCCCCAGATGTAACTACTGCTAATTCAGGGAGCCTCTTAAACTTATTTTTGAGAGGGGTTCATCTTTTTGGCTGTTGTCCTAGTTAGATAAAATGTTGCTATGGGAGAACTTGGCAGTATACACCAAAGGACGCTCAAGCAAAAAATGTATTCTGGAAGGTTTTGTGCAGCTCAAATAACTGTTTCAGCATAGGTATGTGAAATTGTATATGGAACCTGAACTGCATCATGAAGTAGCAGCTGAGGCAAAAGTGATCTCCTTTTTCCGAAACCTTGGGAGGCCTGGGATTCTTAGTTTAGGCATCACCTCTTTTTTTTTTTTTTTGGAGACAGAGCCTCATTCTGTGGCCCTGGCTAGAGTGCAGTGTTGTCATCCTAGTTCACTGCAACCTCAAACCCTTGGGCTCAAGCGATCTTCCTCCCTCAGCCTCCAGAGTAGCTAGGACTATAGGCACGTGCCACCATGTCCAGTAACTCTTCTACTTTTTGTAGAGATGGGCTCTTGCTCAGGCTGGTCTCCAACTCGTGAGCTGAAGCAAACCTGCCTCATCCTCCCACCGTGCTAAGATTACAGGCGTGAGCTACTGCTCCTGGCCATGCATCACCTTTTTAAGCCTTAAAAGGGCCTAAAACAACTGCAAAATTGTGTCTCTGGTTAACAAGTCAGGTAACACTGGTGAAAAAGTACTACAGGTATACACAGAAATCTTAATTTTAAATATTCATGTATTTTAATGTGGAATTAAGCAGTACAAACCTAGTGAGTTAATGGAAACTTAAACTGAGATACTGCTTGGAACAAGGCTGAGGGAGGTTGCTCAAATACATATTTTTTAAAAGATACAGCAAAAGAACAGATGTGGGAAACAGTAAGCTGTGATGGGAGTCAAAAGCAGCTGGTGTTTTAACTCTTGTATCCTGGATCCCCATTCATGTCCATTCTTTTGTGGCTGGATTCCATTGTGCTAAGTCACAGGTATTTTTGTAGCTGTTTGCTATTTGTCTAGTGTTTTGTAACATGAGGAGGGTCTTTGTAAGGTTGGCATGTTAACTAAATGTTGTACTTGGATTGAGAAATGGTACTATTTGTGTCCTCTGCAAACAGATTTACAGTTTTAAGGTTCAAACCAACGTGTTGTCACAGGCTGTGTCTACAATAAGCTTATACTAAGAACAGATAAAACTGGCTATAATGCGAAAGTCCTGTGCCAATTAGATGAGAATGACAGTAAAGGAAAGTTTTACACCTAGATTTTCTTACAGAAGGCTTCAAGGAACTTGGATTTGAACTGGATCTATGGGTTTGGCAAAATTCCCAAAGGGAGAGTAGGATGTTTGTTATAAAGTCTCAATATTCCTATTTTTGTCATTATATAAGGTTTGGATCCCTTACAGCTTTTTATAAGGGTATCTGGTATAGTGAATCTGCTGAGCCCTTATTTAAAAATTTTAGTTCTTAGTGTGTAGGCTTGAGTGGACTCATAACCCATGATTAACTTACGATAGTATTTGGGCTTTATTTCAAGAACTTTTACAATAAAGCAATAATTATAAATGCAATAGTCAGACTTTTGGCAAGTGATGTTAACTTGAAACTGCACTCTACTGCTGGTTGAGATAAGTCCATTAGGTTGAACAATAGGAAATGAACACCTTTATGGGTCAAAAATGGGCAACTTGGGAATCTCCTATGGTTCAAATTAATTACAAATTTTTAAGTATAATTATATTAGAAATTCAAAGAAAAGTCCAAACATCCAGAAAACCCCTAATTACTGGATGATGAGGGCATTATATAATCTTTAATTATTATTTTTTTAAAAAAGGCTTTATCAGTAGATCACTTTAGATTCAGATTCATCTGTATCTTCTATGCTACTATTTCTAGTACTGAAGCCAGGTACCTAAACATTCCCCTGGAAAAACTATTAATATAATGCAGCTTTATAAGATGACTTTCCATAGTCTGTTTATTTCTTCCTTTGAAAAGATGCTTTAGATAAATGTACAGAATTGGGAGCCACTATTCTAACATTTTTTCTCTATAGTTTCAATTTTATCCAACCAGAGAGGGCTGGACTAGTTGACCTTTTGAAGATCTTTCCAATATTAATATAGCTTCAGTCATGTGTCACACCCTGTATAACACTTAACCAAATGGCCAAGAATTCACATGAAGAGTATATGCTGAATTAAACTGGCATTTGTTTTATATATGTATCCATCCTAGCCATTTCAAACTATGCTGAATGCAATCTAAAGATAAACAAAGGCAAAATAATTCTTTTTTATTAATTTCCTCAGAATCCTACTGTTAAGTATATCACTTAATAGCTTCTTGGATTTCTTTGTATTTCAGTGACTGGTATGTTCTTTTTTTGGGTAAAATACTTTCTCTGTGTTTGTACCCTCTTAACGGATTAATTGTAAAATGTACCTACTACTCATTTTCTAGTTGAAAGGTCACTTTCATTAAAAATATTTTCCAGTAGTTTTTCTAGATAAACCACCTTATACTTGGTAGTTGCCTGGAGCATATACTTCAACCTCTATGAGCTTCCTTTTTCAACTAACTTGCTGTTTTCAGGTTGCAAAAAAAATGTAAACATTACATTTGAAATTTCACTAATTGAAACCAGACTAAGGTGGCAGCAAGTGTTAACATGTTCCAGATTATATCAACAGTGGACTATTACTTTATTATTGGGTCAGGAAGAATAGATAACAGGATAGTTCTTCCTGTGTCCTGTTGCTAAGCCAACAGTTGCTTCTAAGCAGACACACAGCACTCTGCACAACAGCCCAACAACAAAAAGCAGAACTTAGGTCATTTAAGTTTCCTGGTACTCAAGGATACTCTCAGTCTAGGATTCTTTACATGACAAAAAACCTAGTACAGCATTCATTCTAAACAGTGTTTTTTACTTTTAACTCATGTTTACAGTTTTCTAGCTTATGCTGTTCTTTGAAATGTTGAGCCAAGTTCTAAATTTTCATAAGAATTAATGTTTGGGGGATCATGTGCACTCAAAATGTAAACACTACTGCAGGTTTCTGAATTGCAGAACAACCTTTGTAGGTGGTCACTGTCAACAGAAAAGATGCCTTACACATTTTCATAATTGAAGCAGAACTCAGCATTGTAGCCTAAAACCCTACTAACCCTTTTTTTTTTTTTTTTTTTTGTTTTTGAGATAGTCTCACTCTGTTGCCCAGGCTAGAATGCCAGGGCATCAGCCCAGCTCACAGCAACCTCAAACTCCTGGGCTCAAGCAGTCTACTGCCTCAGCCTCCCGAGTAGCTGGAACTACAGGCATGCGCCACCATGCCGACTAATTTTTTTATATGTATATTTTTAGTTGTCCAGCTGATTTCTATTTTTTTTTTTTTAGTAGAGATGGGGTGTTGCTCTTGCTCAGGCTGGTCTCAAACTCCCAAGCTCAAACAATCCACCCGCCTCGGCCTCCCAGAGTGCTAGGGTTACAGGCGTGAGCCACCGCGCCTGGCCCCTACTAACCCTTTTAAATGAAGCTTTATGCCTTGAGTGGATTTTATTTTTAAATATTTCTGGTGAAGGGTTTTAAGGTAGGACATACATTTTTCAGTATACTGAAGACATAATAGCTTTCAGTGTGGCATAGTTAACATGTTTAGGATTTTACTTTGTATTAAGAAGCTAGTTACCTAATTTTCCCCAATTGCTTCTCAATGGTTTTCGCTTCTAGCTGCCTTCTACCCTTCTTGCTATTTCTTGTAATTTAGAGCAAATTAAGGATGACAGAAAACCATGTAACCAAACTTCCCATTTGCACACAAGGGATCTCAAATATTTATTGAATGGTTTGGGTATTCTGGAATCGTGATCCGAATAGTAACTAGACTATTTTCATTTAAATGCTTTATAGTTCTCTCATCATTTGGAAATACTTGATAGCAGAGAATTTGCTTAAAACTAAAGGTGGGAAAAGACAGTTAACCACCAGGACCACTCATAGCCCACTTTCATTACCAACAAAGCAGTTTGTATATAGTCCTAAGTTTGTAGCTTAGGACTCATATCTAATGTCAATCCAGATGTCCTGTAAAGGCAAAAGGGAAGGGGCTAAGGGACACACAAACCTCTGGTATTCCAGACCTAGTATCAAGGCTATAGATAGGAATTCCCCTCCAGACATCTTGTCGAGAACTAATACGAACATAGTGAATTGGAGAAGACACCCAGGGCTTAATTCTAGTTTCGCTAGTTGTATAACCTTGGAAACCATTTGCTCTGGCTTTTTGTTTCCTTAGCCATAAAATGTGGAGGAATCCTGACATTTTCAGGTTGGCCATTTATCCTTTCTTTTTGCAGACGAGGGAGCAGGAAGGAGTCCTAGCAGAGATGACTAGCTCAGAGTTAGCTGGCTATCGCAGAAGTCTGACCTAAAGTCTACCTTCTATGCTCTATGTGTTTAACTATAACTTCCTCTCCTTTTTAAGAAATATGTATCTGTAAGCACCAAATGGTAAAGAAAAAGGCCCCAAGCTAGATGTATAATGACAAATGCCAGATTCACAACTTGGTATTATTACTACCAAGGAAAACATGCTTGGATTATCAGAATTGTGAAAGATGCCATAGTATAGACGATAAGAGCATGGAACATGGGATCTGATAAGATCAGCCTTTCTTAGCATGTCGCCTTGGGTGCGTCTTAGCCTCACCACAGATTCCTCACATGTAAAATGTACACAACAATAATAGTCTATTGAGATACAAGGAGAATGCTAAGCACAATGCTAGCACATTGTAAGTATTCAATAAATGTTCACATAGATTCAGTATTTTGTAAGAATACCACTAAAAGACGAAGGTTCTTTTACAGATTTCATTTACTTCAGTTATCCATTATGGTTCTAGAGCCCTGACCTGGATGACATTTAAATGTTCAGTTTGCCTAATAGCCTTCAATGAAATTTGGATTCTTCTACTTGAGAAAGGTAAGCCTACAGAAAATAAAACTGATACGACAGAAAAATATGCTCTGCTGTGCTCCTCAGTATTATTTTAAAATGGTTTCCATTGTCTTAGCACCTGTCTTAAAAGAGGTATGCTATCTGCACTCAAAAGTATTTGTACCTACAACATTAAGTGCTCCTTAGAGTTAATGCTTGACTGCCTATGGGCATATTATCACATTATTTGTCTTTTAAAACTTTGCTTTTTAGTCTTAAGGCTCTTGTTCACAGAAACTTTTTTTTTGATTAGTCCAAAGGTCTGAAATAAATGGTTAGTAAACCAAAATACAGTTGATCTTCATTATTAGTGGTTTCCTTATTTGTGAATTTGCTCACTCACTAAAATTTATTTGTAACTCCAAAATCAACACTTGACATGCTTTTCTGGTCATTTGTGAATATTCACAGGATGGCAAAAATTTTGAAACATCCCATGTGCAAAAACAAAGCAATGCTCTGCCTTCTTGTTTCAGCTCTCATAAACAAGTATCCTTTTTGTGGTTGGTTTAGTGCAGTGTTTCATGTTTGTGCTTTTTCTTGGTGACTTTGCTGTTTAAGATGGCTCCCAAGAGTAGTAGTGAAGTGCTACCTAGTGTTCTTAAAGCAAAGAAAGCTGTGATATGTCAAGCTTAAGTTACAATGCTGTTGGCTGTGAGTTCAATGTTAATGATGGCAACAATATATATTACACATATAAAACAAGGTTATGTATCGATCAGCTGACAAAAGCGTGACCATAGGCTCACAAGAACCTGTATTTCCCCTAGGAACAATGGTTCAGTATTTGCTAATTTAGTGTTCAGAGCAACTTTATAGGACAAAACTATGGTGAACAAGAACCTTCATGCCCCCTTGCCCCTGGAAATAACTAAAAAAATTTATCCTACACAAAAGCCTTAGAAACTAGTGCTTCATTATACACTAAATCGTAATAGACTTCATCAGATTTTCAACAAGGTACAGGGCATAAACAAAGAACAACTATACCTTTAAAATGCCAATAAATATGATTATCTCCACTATTTTTACCTCAGAAGTCTTTGTGTTCTTCATTAATAAAGAACTTTATGATAACTTAAGAAAACTTGGATGGTAGGCAGTTAAATTTATCATCTTAGAGCTACACATAATATCCCTGGATGGGGAATATAGACTAGCTAGTTTACCTCAGATGTTTTGTACAGGGACTCTGATTAAGATCCTCATATATTTTGTTAGATGGATAGTCATTTGCCTTCAAATGGCATTTAAATTTATTAGTATATAAATTCTTAGTAGTCCAAGCTGAAGAATATTTTGATATTGAGGACACTAAAATTTTCAGTTTTGCTGTTTAAGCTTGATCATAACAATTACAAAACTTTGATTTTGTCAAAAAATAACCAATTTGAGGAATAATTTGTAAATGGTCAGTATCTTTGAGGGGCTAAGTGAATACAATGTTAAATACTTGATTAATAATAGGACCTGTACTCTGAAATCTTTGTCATACTGTTAGTTTTTAATGTATGAAACTAAATTCTGTCAGTGACATATACATACACCTAGGTCACTTTCTTAGGTCAAAGTCATGGCTAAATTCACTTTTAAACACAAGATTCCAGGTAGCTGAGCCAGCTATCTGTACCCTGAACAGTTTTTCATCCTAATAAGAGTCCCTACTTCAACAGCTCATGCTAATTCCATCATAATATTTATTGCATAGTTTAACTACGAATTTATCAGTCCCCCATTAGACTGGAGGCTACCTGAAAGCAAGGACTCTCAATTTCACTTTGTCTTGAAGAGTATACCAACTTACTTGCTAAATGAGTAATGAATAATATTCCTATTGAAATGGTGTGCATTTGTCCATCAAATATTCTTACCTATAGTCTGATTTAAAATCCTCAAATTTAAATGAGAAAATTATACCAAGGCTTTGATATAGCTTATGCTAAATCATTTTTAAAAACTGTAGCTCTGAGGTATTTTATTATAAAAAGTTGATATTCATGTACATGAACTAATATGAACTTCATCATACATTTACTTCATTTTTTAGCTTGACCTTCTAGTAAATCTTTAGCTTCATTGATTTTGGCTGCTATATAAGGAGATCCTCCTATAGGAAGAAAGAAAAAGGAATAGTTAAAATATGGATTCTCAATTTCTGCTTGGTAAAAAGCTACTCTCATTTCAAGGATCCCGATGCTTATCTGAGGTGGAATTACTAGAAATTATTTTTTAAAACTATGATGCTGCAACAGATCACTAAGTAAATGATAATATATTCGATCAATGGGAAATGAGGTAATTTCCACGAAAGTGATTTGCACAAAAATGACACCTTTTTAGGATGCTTAAAAAACATGTATCATAGACATATATGTGCCTTTGAAATAGTGTAAGTTAGCCTATTCATGATTACAAATCATGAATGAATATCAATTTATTGTACCATGTTGCTTTAAAACCATAATATTCTCAAGAGGCTTCTAAGCTTTGTTGGAAAAACCCCAGTTTCTTTAGATTCTTTTTTTGTCCTTCACAGTTTTTCTCTTTTCCTATTATCAACTGTCCCTTCACAATGTTTACACGTACCAATTGGCTGGAGCAGTGATTCTCTAAAGTGTGGTCCTAAGCCCAGCAAGAAGCATCAACAGGAAACTTGGTATAAATGCAAATTTATAGGCTCCATGGCAGACCTACTGAATCAAAAAAGCCCTCCACATAATACAAGCTAAATTTTGTAAAATATGCTGAAGGCCAAATACCAAACAATTAGAACCCTGTTTAAACTGTCAGAACCCATGAAAACATCATGAAAGGCCTCTCCTCTACAAGCAAAAGGATTTGAGCACTGAAACATGGATTTTGTGGTCTATGTTTTGGTATTCAAAGGAAATATCTGCATTCTTTCAACATAGCCAAGGCTGCTTATAAGGATATCAAAAATGAATAAATCTCATAAATTTCTAACTAGGTAATCTCCATTTCAAAGTGTCTACACTGGATGGGGAAGAGTTAGTTTTATTAACTGAAATTTAACATTTTCTTTATGAATGTAGGTAAAACATAGTAAAATTAGCAGTATTTGTGACTGTTACTACTAGAAGTCATATTTTATCGCAATTACAGATCTCATTTGACTCACAAAGAGGTTTAGGCATTTCCCTTATAATAGCCAAGGGATATAAAATTATTCCATTAATAACATTTATGCCAACAACATATGTTTAAAGACTACTTACCTTTGTCTGGGTGATTTAAGAGCATAATTCGTCGATGAGCATCTCTTATTTTTCCTTTATTGGCAGTAGGGCTAATTAAAAAAGGAAAAGGTATTACTTCAGTCTACTGGATCGCATCAAAAAATTGTACATGAAGGCCAATTAAAGATGTGAAACTATACTAAGTTAACACAACATTATGAAAAGCTGTTTAGGAACCTCCTAACACAGAAGGAAAATGCACATCCTGAATTGGGGAACCAAACTGCTCCGCAGAAAAAAGCAAAAAAAAAAAAAAATGTAAGGCATTCTCAAAAATGTTGTTGAATTTGGTAAAATTCATTACAATAGTCCTTTTATTGAAAAGGAAAATATGTTTAAGTATTTGAAAATGAAGGCAGAAATTTCACCACAGAAAATGTCAGTTACAGAGAACAAGATTGAGTACTGTGTAATAATGTGTTGATAAGTCTATCTTTAAATGTATGAGAAAGTGCCTATGTGCCAGTGTGTCTTCTCATTTGACTTTTGTAGGAGAGTTTAGACCTTAAAAATGTACATGCAAGGAAGGACCACTAAGGCTCCAGTGACTAGAACTGACAATACCAATTTTCCTGGGACAAAATCCTCCCGTAACTCCTTCCTAATAATAAAGGAGAAAAGGCTTTCTTAACATTTTCCTCATAGCTGTAGAGTTGCAGAAAAATACTAAAAATCTTAGAAATTATTTTACCTTACACCTAGTATTAATGCTGCTTCCCGTTTTGTCATTTTGGGTTCAAACCCACCTCTGTAATAGCCACCACTGAAAGCCTGAAAGAAGAAATGCATTTGTAAGGAAAGATTAGTAGAATAAATTGAAAGTTGCTAACTAAGTTTATAATGGTTCATAGAATTAATCAGTAGCAAAATTAAGCCATTTGGGAGAACTTTTGGGTGCAATTTCCACAGTATTTTGGCTACAACTAAATCTTATATCTAAGAAGCAGCAAATATTTTAATGATCATGAAACAGGTCCTTTTTTTTCCAGCCAATATAAACTATCTTGGAAATAAAAGAACAGTGTCTCAAAGCCAGTTCTTCCAGTAGTGAAGAAGGATCATTCCAAATTAGCCATATTCATGAAAATTTGATCTCACAGTATAACTATGGTTTAGAACAAGTTCCTCAAGAAGAGGATTTGGAGGTCTTTTGAGACAAATAGTTCGAAAGTATTTTAAACAAGACTTTATTAATAAGGTATGTATAGACTTTTAAGATATGTGTATGTACAGAGGACCTGCTATCAGGTCCTCTCACCTTGTTATGTCAGAAATCTTAACTGGAAAAGCCTACTATCACTATTCTGCCTCATTTAATCACAACATAAAAATACTCAACAGGCTGTCATAGCCAAATTCATTCTTAACTATAATCACAGAGGGTATGATCATAACGTCTAGTCATACTCCATAGCCTAATTAACTACAGCACTAAATATGTTAGGTAGTGGCAGGGCCACACAGTAAGAACAGATCACTTTAGAACCCTAGATCCCTGTGTGCTTGTGATGCAGAGCAGTTGAAGGAAAGCAAGAATGTGGACAGATGATGCTGACGTTGACAATATGTGAACAATAAAGTGATAATAACTTTCATAATACTGTACTAGAATTGTTAACACTGCCCCCATCTCAATTCTGTCACGTATAACATTCAACTTTTTGAGGTAGCACCATTACAAAGTTCAGAACTTGTACACCCTCCTTGTGGAAACGAGAAGGGGCCCAAAGCAATCACTGAAAACTTTGTTGATGTTTGGAAATTTACCCCTCCTCAAGTGTGGCCCTAGGTTTCAAACACAGGCAGCAAAGAATTAGAAGAAATATTCACGAAGTCTTACAGATTTTGGTAGACTTTGAAAAACTTGTTTTACTTGAGGCTCCATATGCTTCATGGCTTGCAAAACATAACGGCCTAGAACCAATAATAAATAGAACAAATAAGTAAATCCCCAATCTCCTCTACTTCATTTCCACTCCTAAACCATAAACAAACCTGCAAATCCTGCAGCAGCAATGGTCAGTCCAACTGCTACCACTGTACTGGCCTGGTAAGGGAGAAAATAGTAGATATTTATTTCCCTAATTCCCACCCTTCCTTAAACCCATTTCCCCAATCCCCTACTCATTACAAGTTGCATTTCAATAGGAGAAACGAGTTTTAAGGCGAAAATATTCTGCCCAATGATCCTTTAAAACTACTGCAACTGATACACTGAATGCATTGTAAAAGTATGGTATTTTTCATTATAGAAGAGGGCAAGTCGACTTGCTTAATTACCTCTACAACAGTGAAGAAGATGATAACGTCCCTTTGAAAACTTATTTCAGCCTTGGGCAAATGAAGTCCCATTAAAGTCAAACCAAGAGCAGTAGAAATAAAGTTTCTGTTAGAGAAGGCAGAACTGTTTACACACAGTTCCTGTAAAATTCTGATAAAACATTTTCAATGATAAGCGTGGGCTAAACTAGGAGATTAACTTATTAGAGCGCCTTCAGCACTATCCCACCTCACTGTCTGTCCTGTTGTCTCCAAACAGGAGAGAGGTCCAAATATGTTGAGGAAAGCAGAGAGATCTATATCTGCAAGAGCCAAAGGGGTAAAGAAAGACAGAGAAAAGTGGCGCAAGCGCGGTGAGGATGTGTTAGAGCAAGGGCAGTTATAGTCAGATGCGTTCCCACGAATGTCCTAGTCCATTACAGACTCTGACCTTAGAGGAGAGCTTATGGGAAGCAAAGCCTTGGCGCCCGGCGACACCGGACCAGAGGCTGAAGACGATGTACGAACACAAAAATCCAAGCGGAGTGAGCCAACAGCTTTGTGTCCTGGTGAGTGTGACGCCCCAAAGACCTAAACCTCCCGCCCAGATTCGCCCTAGGGAGCACAACCTCAGCTGCAATCTGCCCAGGCCAAGGTTGAGGCCTGGGCCAGACGTCGCCCAGGAGACCGGAAGGCCGCACTCACCATGGCTCGGGCTCGGCTCCCCTGCTTCCACCGGGAGCATGTATCATCCCAGCCCACAGGTCGTGGCCACTATCTACGCGCCTTTATCAGCGAGCGAAGCATTCGCAGGTAGGAGGCACAAGTCTCCCAAGCACGGGCGCCTCCGAAATACGACAGCAGAAGCCGCAAACTAGGCCGGAAAATGTCGTAAAAGGGAAAAAGCGGAGAAGGAGGAAAGTCGCTCAAGCAGTGGGCGGGCGGAGCACGCTACTTCGTGTTCGTTGAGGCTGGGCGGATCGCCTCTCACCGGGGTTTAAGGGTGGGGCTTCTCTCTGTTTTCTGCCCTTTGCTCCCGGGGCATGGGTATTTGCAAATTTTTTCAGAGAAAGGCATGGGCAAGTGCTGTGCAGCCTTACTCAGAACGGTTTTCTTTTCCTACCTGTAAGCACGTCGGTTTGCCATTTATTTTGTTTATACTTGTCAAAGGTAGCGAATATACTTAAACACACTGACAGATTTCCACCATGAAGCCTAACTAATATGTAGCAACCCGGTGTAGGAAACAAGATATCCCAAGAAACCAAACGAACAACCTGCACTGTTTCAGGGGTTGCTGGGTAGCATTTTTTCGTTAAGAAAACCTTAATTAATTAATTTAATTTTTGACAGGATCTCGCTCTGTGGTTTGGGCTGGAGTGCAGTGGTGTCATCACAGTTCACTGCAACCTCGAAGTCCCCGCTGAAGTGATCCTGTTGCCTCAGACTCACCAGTAGCTGGGACTACAGCCGCGGGTCACTACGCCTGGCTGATTTTTAAAAATTATTATTATTTTTTTTTGCAGAGACAGGATCTTGCTATATTGCCGGAGCTGGTCTTGACTTCTGGCCTCCCAAAGTGCTGGGATTACACGTGTGAGCCACCATGCCTGACCAAAAGAACTTTGTTTAAAGGTGTGACTTGACAGGACTTTCTGTGAATGTTTGGATTTTCATTTTGTAGAATGAGATTACCACTTCAAAAAAAATTAATACTCTGATCACAAGATCTTAAAATCCTACAACTAAAAAATGCTGTTTAAAATTTCTCCTGCTACCTCAAAATAAAAGGCAGGACTTGATTTCATCTTTACAGGGCATCGGTTTCATATACCCCTGCATAAATGCTTGAGAAGAAAAAAATAATGGAGACAATAATGGAAGTTTTATATTAATAATATGATGTTCGTATGATCAAAATAAGTTTGGAGTTACTTCCCACTTAGAATTTACAGAGTTTTAAAAAATCTGTTACGTTGCAGTGCAATTCTGCTTTGATGAGTTTGTTGGCTATTAGATAAATATACACATTTTTTGACTTTGTTTTCCTCATCTATAAAAGCAGTTTGCATTTTTATCTCTAAGACCTCTTCTAGCCCTAAGATTTTGTGATGTAATTTGTTGTCAACACATGATTTAAGGTGATATCCTGTATTAACATACTAGCATTAACTGTATATCTTTCTCATTTGCCTTTTTATTTAGTTTTCACCTAATAAGTACAAAGTAAATAATCAAGTGAGGCATAAGATTTTGGGACCAAATTGGCAGAAACAAGCCAGAATGCTACCTGGAAAAATTTATTATGCATATATTTGATATGTACAAACTATGGCATGCAGTTTGCTTGAGGAACAGATTACCTTACAGAAGCCTACCCTCAGGAAACTGGGGTTGGGTGTTAGGCAGGGACCAAATCTGCAGGTGACAGATACAGGTCAGGAGGGCGGTTCCTAGAGGTGGAGAAGCCAAGGAAGAGACTACAGGAAAATGCAGCTAACAACCGCAAAGAGCAGGAACTTGAGGATTAGAGGCATACACACCTATGGGGCTGCAACTTTGTTATAAGAACACCTGTCAATCATGTACATCAATCACCTGGTAACATCCCACACCTCCCTTAAGCCCTCCCCTGCACCAGGCCAATAAAAGGAAACCACCTGGGTGTCCTAACATCTTTCTCCACTGGTAGAGACTGACCTATTTCTCTCTGGAATGTATTCTTGCTTTGTATAGCTTCCTTCTTTTCTCCAATAAAAACTGTTTGTGTGGAATTGCTTCCTGTCTTTGGTCACTCCATTGCATTGGCCCTGCTTATGGATTTTCCAAGCAAGGAGCCAAAGAACCAGGACAACAGCCCACCAAGAGGCCAGACCTGACATTTGGTGTGAAAACCTTGGATCCTCTCTCTTTTCAAGGTAAGGTGATGGAGTATGTGTGTTTTCTGGAGGTGGCCTTGTCACATTGTCTTTATGTCTTTTTGCTTTTCCCAACTGTGGTGAAACATGGTGAGTAGTGCGAATGTGGTGTAAACCCTGGAGTTCCTGTCCTTTTCGTTACAACACTAGGACTCAGGAAATGGAAATCCAATCCTGCCAAATGCCAGCCCAGTTCTTATGGGACTCCCCTCACCCTCAGTCAATGGGCTGCCTGCTCTGTGTGGAGAGTGGTTTGTCCTCAGGCTGAGGAAATAGTGGAGTGGTTGAAGGGATATCTTGACTGGAAAACCTGACTATAGTGAGGCCCCTGTAGCAACATAAGTGTTCTCCCTCACCCCTATAATCCTGTCTTTCTTTTTCTAACCAAAACTTAGTTTTCTAGGACTATGTTCCATGACATCCTATGCTGTTGCAGACTTAAAGAACTGAGGGTAGACTGACCCCCACCATCTGCCACATGGTCATGGTGGGGAGGAGTTCTCACCGAGTCTCTGGAGCCGGGGAGGGCTCCACCCATGGGAATGGGACATTGTGTCCCCACAGTGAAGTACACCCAGGAGAAGAATGCATGATCCTGCAGGTAATCTACTCTTGGTCTATTCTGTTCTCTTTTCATAGAGACAATGGGACGGGAAACCTCAGTTCCCACCAATTCTCCCCTAGGATGTCTGTTAAAAAACTGGAATACCCTTGGACTAACAGCCTCTGCAAAATGGAACTGGTGTTTTTCTGCAACACTACCTGGCACCAATACCAACTGATGGGCGGAGAATCCTGGCCTGAGAACAGGAGTCTTAACCTGAATACTATCCTACAATTAGATCTCTTTTGTAAAAGGGAGGGAAAGTGGTCAGAAATTCCCTATTCTCAGGCCTTTATATACCTGAGAGATAACCCCCAATACTGTGAGTCTTGTGTGGGGAAGTGTCAAATTAAGAGAACAGAAAAAGGTCAGGGTGCCTCTTCAGCTCTGGAGAAACCTCAAATTTCAGAAAAGAAATCAAGTGACAACAAAGGGACTATGGCTGTAGCCCTGGCCCCAGAGGAGCCTCAAACACCACCAGAATATGGTCCACCTCATTTTCTTTACGCCTCTTTTCCAAGTCCAAATCTACCTTCCATTTGTCCTTTACAGGAAGTATCAGGATCCACAGGGACAGCCTGTGAGGATCCATGTTCCATTCTCAGTGGGGCATCTCAAAACATGTAAGGAAAAACTGGGAAGCTTCTCAGCTGACCAGACAGATTCATAGAAGAATTTGAACACCTTAAGATTATTTTTGATTTAACCTGGAAGAATGTGTGGGTCTTGCTCTCACGTTGCTTCTCACTAGACAAAAGAAATAGGACTGGGCAGCAGTCAGGTTTATGGATATTAGCTTCATGTACTAAATCAAAATCTTCACCCTGGAAATCAAGCTGGGGGACCCAGAGTGGAATTACCAAAAAGGGCCAAGGAAGACCCCCACCTCCACAATCACATGATAGTATGCCTTATAGGAGGCATGAAAGCTATTCGGGTAAAACCAGTTGGCTTTTCTAAATTGGCAGAGGTAGTTCAAGGAAGGGAAGAAAGTCCAGCAATATTTAGGGAAAGAATCATTAAAGCTGTCAAGAAATATACCAACATGGGCCCTAACTCACCAGAGGCAATAACAGTAATAAACACTTCATTAACAACTCTTGTTCTGATGTTGACAGAAAACTCCGGAAGTTGGCCTTGGGACCCCAGACAAATACAGTCCAGCTACTGTTAGTGGCCTCCACTGTCTACAGCAACTGGGATATAAAGGTAACACAGCGGGATCACCAAAAGGCCAAATTACTGGAGTTGGCTATTGCTGCTATGGCTCACCCAGCTACTCTGAGGAACCCAGAGGGTGGTGATAAGACCTGTTTTTGGTGCGGGAAGCCTGGGCACTTTTGAAAGGAGTGCTGAGTCAAGACTGGATGAGCCTGGAACCATACTGGGAAGGCTGTGGGGCCCAGAAAACCATGTCCCAGATGTGGACAACAGGGCCATTTGGCCTGGGACTGTCCCTTGACCCCCAGGGCCAAAGGAGAGCCCAGGCCATAGTGGTCATAGATAACCAGGCCTGAAGGGGCCTGGGTTCAACACAGGCTCCCATACATACCATTGAGATCACACTTGAAGAACCCCAGGTAATCTTGGATGTGGCTGGCAAGCAAATTATTTTTCTCATTGATATGGGAGCCACTTATTCGGTCATAAAAGCCTTTGGTAGACCCCTGTCATCTTCCTCCTGTATGGTTGTGAGCATTGATGGATGCCCCACCAGAAGGTATCATACTCTGGTTTTATTATGTAGCTGGGAAGGAATATTAGTTACTCGCTAATTTCTGCTTATCCCCAAAGTACCAATTTCTTTGGTAGGAAGAGACATTTTGGTTAAGTTGGGTCTCCAATTACAATTATAACCCCACATTGTCATGTGGATGGATAACCCTCAAGAGAATTTTGAGGGAGAACAGAAGCTACCAACAGGCCTAGAGAATGTAGATCCAAGAGTCTGGGCAAATGGAAATCTGGGGCAAGCTGTAAGGATTTCACCAGTAAAGGTGACCCTCAAACCAGGAATTCCCTTCCCCAACAAGGGACAGTATCTGTTGTCCCCAGAGGGGCGGCAGGGAATTGTTCCGATAACACAACAATTGTTGAAGGCTGGGATGTTGGTAGAATGTTCATTCCCTTCCAACACTCCCATTCTAAGCAGTAAAAAAAACTGAATGGGAACTGGAGATTTGTTTAAGCCTTCAGAATCATAAATGAGGCAGTGATTCCTTTATATCCAGTGGTCCTAAATCCATATACAATTATCACTAAATTCCCCTGGGATCAACCTATTTTTCTGTCCTAGATTGGAAGGATGCCTTCTCAATTCCTTTATACCCAGACAATCAATTCCTGTTTGCCTTTGAATGGGAGAATCTTGCTACAGCAAGAGGTAGACAGTTAATGT